CTAATCAGGATGGTATATTCGAAGCAAATATTTTTGCTAGAAGACAATTGGATACGAAAAATTATTCAATTGTCATATCATTTAAAATAGAAGCGAAGCAAATTCCAATACCATCTCTATCTTATCCACGTGTGTGGCAATTATTTCACGATCTTAATGTCCAAGTAGTATCACCAAAAAATTGTTCTACCATTGCCTGGCCCGAAAATGCTTCTTTTATTGAAATACTTATGAAAGTACCTGATGATGTTTTACTTTCATGCAACATTATGTACAATGACACCAGTATAGAGAATGGAACATTGGCACAATTCGACAGTGGAAAAAAACTATGGCAATTGCTATTTGCACCTCAATGCATCGGTAAACATGAGCTCAACGTTTTTGCTAAGCGGATGACAGATAGTAAATCTGATGCAGTTATTCAATTCAATACCAAAGTTACTCAACTTCGAAAACCAATGAAGTTTCCTATCACTTATGCTCAGTTTCAAAATACAAAAAGTCGAATTTACGAACCGATCGATGGTACACTCAAAAAAGGTTCGACCATTCAGTTTCATTGTGTAATTTCGAATGCAAAGGATGTTAATTTAACAGTTGATTCAAAATGGATTGAAGCCCAAGGATATGAAGATCCAATTCTGAAAAGAAAAGTCACTGTTGGTTCGAAAAATGTTATTGTTTATGGCAAATACGGGCAGGAAAAAGCGTATAAAGCACTTATTGAATATTCTGTTCAGTAGTTCTATTTCGTTACTTTTTTTCTTGTTTTTGAAATATAAGAATGAGAATTCTTAAGATGTTGTAATGAAATAATCGTGGGATAACGAATGTTCTCATGAAAATATATAAATAGATATATATCCGATGAGGATTGTACTATATATATATTGCACAATAAGGAAATCAACTTTTATTCAATATGGAAGAAATCTTTAGGTATTACTAATGATCGTACTTAATAATAATAAGTTTTCTTCTTTAGGATTCATTGTTCAAGAGGGATGGTGCGACTTTGAATGTAGAGAAGACCCACATATCAGCTTCGTCACTCGTCGTAAGAGGTATCGAAATTAACATTTGGCGAGTGTCCGTAACTTTCTCTTGATTGATATGTCTTGAAACAAAAAGTGGATGTGAGTGTGGTTTTGGACAACACCTACACTCCATACTCACATCCTTCACTGTTAATATTTTTGACATCATAAATTTGTAGCCCGTTTCCAGAGGGTGGGTAGGTGTGGCTGTGGGTGTGGCTGTGGGTGTGGGTGCGGGTGTGGGTGTGGGTGTGGGTGTGGGTGTGGGTGTGGGTGTGGGTGTGGGTGTGG